AAATTGGTCAATAATGGACTTTTTAGCACAACAATGTAGATAACTTTCTCAATTTTATACATTTCTTCATGGAAATTTGCTTTGTTTTCTCAAATTATTCCACAAAGTTTAGACGGGACTGAAATAGCTTCTGTGGGAAAAATTAAATTCTTGTCTTTAGGTTAAAATTGTAAATTTCTCTCCAAAAATTAAAGGAATGCTTTTTTATTTCCTTCTTAAATCATGTTCCTTGTAGCCTTCAGCCTTCAGTGCCAAGTCTTGAGGCTCAGCAACCCGAGGAAAGACAGTATGGGAGCACCCTAGGACAAATCGGCCATTGATTAAGTTTAAGTCTCAATGCTGACTTTTAGAAAGACAATAGCTGTGAAGGTCAAGCACTAAGAAAATGAGGATTTTTCTAAATCATTTTGTGTCCTTTTTAACGCAGATTTCAAGAACCAGGCCTGAAGGATTCGGGATCATGGAGTTTCTTCCACAATGCAAAGATGACAACTCTTCTACTTACAGAACAAGGTCAACAGGCTTGCTGACCCAGGGAGAAAAAGGAAAAGTTAGAGAAGTAAAGAGTTCAAAACTGGATCCTTCTAGCCAGAAAGGCGGGAAGTCTTGAGGGATTATGAAAGCAGATAGAGGTTGATTGAAACGTTAGATGCCATGTTCTCGTCCCTGTTCAAAGATGTCCTTCCAGGGTTGAACTTTGGTGGAGCAGTGGAGGGAGGAGGGACTTAGAAGCAACTAGATTTGCCTGAGGAGGTCTGAGGACACTGAGATTAGTGGCCCAGCATCAGGGAGGATATAGCCCCTTGGAGAAGTCCCTCCCTAGCTAGAACTCCAGTCCACTGCATTCTGGCCCTAAAAGGATGGCAAGAAGGTGGCTACAGAAAGCTGTTGGTTCTTCATGGTTTTTGTATGAAGTGTGAGGGAGTGCAGTGTGCCTGGGGAGAGGACATAGGGTTTCTGATTATCAATTGGACTAACTTGGCCAAGAGGCTGAACTGTTTCGAGGACATCAAGATTAGAAACAAATGACCAGGATCATGTGCTCCAGCAGCCGGAGCTAGAAATATGAATACCAGATAGAACTAATTTAGAGGAGCCATTCTGCCACTCTGCCATGGAGATCAGGAAAAGTCCAGAGGACAATGAGTCCGTCTGAGGACCCTGTCTCCCCTCATGAGGTCCTACCCCTGATTGAGTGTATACTGGCCTGGCCGTATTGGTTATTTACGGCCAAAGTCTCTTCTAATTTATACTGGTTGTTAGATATTAATATTTTAAGTATTGCTCCTACACATATCCCATATTTCCATAAACCATTTTAGAGGGAAATTCAGAACTCTTGGAGATAGAGGATTGTATCCAAAGAGACTGAGCGTTTACCTAAAGAGACTGCTAAATATTTGGATCAGACTAAACATATCAGGTTGGACTAAAATTAAGTTGTCCTTCCCTTTGTAAGTAAGGTGGAGAACCCACAAGGGGGATCAAATCAATTAATTGGGTGCAAACAAACTCTATTATTTCTGTATGAAATTCAGTAAACTTGCAATTGTGACAAATTCTAGTGTACAGGAGATTGGAAAGATCTGGGGGCTTCCATTACCACTTAAATCCATTAGCCTGCTGAGTTCCACACAGACAGGGATTTTTGTCTTTTTTTGTTCACTGCCGTATCTCCAGTGCTCTGAATGTGTCTGGCACATGGTGGGTGCTCCGTAGGTATTTGCTGAAGGAATTACAACTATATCATGAGGCAGACTTGCAGAGTGCCCCCTAAGAATCCCAACAAAATGTCAACAAAAGCAGTGTCCCTAGTGTCATCCATCATAATCTGTACCTGTCAGCACCCCCTAAAAATATTGTGTTTCATTTTAGGCACCAAATTTTAGGAGGGGTGTTCATCAAGTAAAATAGAGAAGATCCAGGAGATAGCAGGCAAGACCAGAGAATTCTGAAAACTACCCAAAATAAGGAACAGTTGACACTACTTGAAGAAAAAAATGATCGATTGGAGATACGATGCTATTGTCAAATGTTAGAAAGACCTTCATCAAGGACAAGTCTGGAATAAATATATGATTGCATGTTCATAATTAGAGCCAGTGGGAAGAAATTATGGACAGGCAAATTTTGACTCAATGTTACACAGAAACTTCTGACTAATTTTTCGGTACAGTCATGTACCACATCACAACATTTTGGTCAATGAAGGATTGCATATATAACAGTGGTCCCATAAGATTAGTACCATACAGCCTAGGTGTGTAGTAGGCTATGCCATCTAGGTTTGTGTAAGTACGCTCTGTGATGTTCACACAATGATGAAATTGCCTAATGACGCATTTCTTAGAACATATCCCCATCCTTAAGCGATGCATGACTGTAATGGGATGGATTGCTTTGTAAACAAAGATGTGAGATTTAATTATTTAATTAATTAATTATTGTCTTGTGTTTTCTTCTCAATATTCATCAGTATTTGGCTCCGTCATCGATTTGTTTGTATATTCTTGAAAGCAGGAAATGTAAAATTTGGAATGGTAGGGTTGATTTAAAACTTTATTTTTATTTATTTAAAACTTTACCGTTAAGAATTATGAGGCCTGGGGCCAGCCTGGTGACACAGTGGTTAAGTTTGCATGTTCCGCTTCGGCAGCCCAGGGTTCACGGGTTCAGATCCCACGTGTAGACCTACGCACTGCTTGTTGAGCCATGCTGTGGCAGGTGTCCCATATATAAAATAGAGAAGAATGGGCACAGATCTTAGCTCAGGGCCAGTCTTCCTCAGCCAAAAGAGGAGGATTGGCAGCGGATGTTAATTCAGAGCTAATCTTCCTCAAAAAAAAAAAGAAAAGAATTATGAGGCCTATTAACTAATTATCCACTATCTCAGTCCCTAAGGCCACAAAGTGGCAAACTCAAATATGAGAAAATATCCTTGACTATTTAGTCTATATCTTACTCTGATTATCTGATGTCCATCACAAAGTGTAATTGCAAATTTTTCAATGAGGTAAGATTTCATGAAGTTGGTGAAAATGTTGGAGAACTGCCCAAATCACATACAAAATAATTTCCTAATGAGAATTTGGCTGAGTTATTTCTGTTAACAATTTAATAAGAAAAGTTGGAAAACATGAGGATTTTATAAGTGTTCCAGTGGGAACTCCAGCCGTTGAGTTTGAATATCGTTGGACTATCAAAGGCTGAAGAGAGGCCCTTGGCAAAACTACTGAGGTTCTTGAATGCTTTTGTAAATATGATCCTTTTTACATTAGTTTGACAAAAGTCATTCAAAAAGTAAAGGATACTGTCTCAGATTATTATGAAATTGGATCAGAAAAATTATCTTCCTCAGAAAACAGTAAACATTTTATTTTATGGTTCTATGAATTACGTATAGCTGCTGTCAACCTAAATTTTGTTAAATATTAGACAAAAAAATGTTCCCAGTAATTTTTGCTTTTATTTTTCAAGATGAATTAAAAAAGAATTTTCACCCCATTTTGTGAAATTTGGTCTTCATTTTAAGTAGAGTCAATTTTAGTGGCCTTTCTAGCACTAATTATCCTCCAATAATGTAAAACTTCTGGATCTGTTTCTTCTATTGGGAGTGCTTTTTTTTCTCTTAGTTTTATTGAAAAGGGACAAACTGTATCAGTAAACACTATACTTCCAGTTGAGTTCCCCACGTGGACATAAAAGGAACAGTGTCTTACTTGCCACTGAGCACAGTGCTAAGGACATTGTACATAATCAATGAATAATTCTTTATTCATTCATTATTCATTTATTCATTCCTGCTAGGCACTGAGGACACGAGAATGGCTCAGCTCCTTACTTCATGGACTCTAGAATTCTGTAGCTATTCTGATTTAACAAGTTATCCTTATTAATATATTCAGTACAGAAATACCTTTTTGTCATAAATGTAATATATGCTCATTGTAGATAAATTTAGAAAATGAGAAAGGGATAAATAAGAAATAAGATGTAATCCTACCACTAGGAGATAAAATCTGATGATGTTTGGGAATGGATGCGTACAGACTTTTCTTCCTATGTGTGCACATGGTACATATATTCATACATTTGAACATTATATAAATATATACAAATTATGTAAGTATAGACAAATTATTAGGTATATACAAATGTATATTTGTACCTTATACAAGTAAGGATATTTCTTAAAGATATTTATACTACACATACTATTTTATAATTTATCTCACAGATATTTTTTAATAAATATAGATCTACTAAGTCATAATGACTGAGGAGTATTCCATTATATGGATATGCCATGAATTGTTTATCAGATTTTCTGCTGTTAATCATTTAATTGCTTCCAAACTTTTTATTATTATTAATGTAATCATCCTCACATAGATTTTTATTCATTTATCCATACTTTTTTTCAGAACACATGTTTTACACTATGTTAAATCTTGATTTTTTTTTTCCTGAGGAAGATTTGCCCTGAGCTAACATCTGTGCCAATCCCCCTCCATTTTGTATGTGGGATGCTGCCACAGCATGGCCGCCAACAAGTGGGGTAGGTCACGTCCTAGGGACTGAAGCCCGGCTGCCAAAGCAGAGTGCACTCAACTTAACCACTAGGCCATGTGGCTGGCCTCTCAAGCTTGAAATTTTGTCTTCTTGGAGATTTAAAAATTAAGATTATTAACAAAATGTTTTGAACATTAAAAAACAAGCAAAACTAATCTACAGTATTAGAAGTCAAGATAATGGTTGTCGTTCGGGGTCAGGTGAGTGTTTTGATTGGACGGGGACTTAAATGGGTCCCAAGTGTACTTGAACTGTTCTATGGTTTGACCTGGGGTTGGTTACATGGGTGTGTTCACTTTGTAAAACTTTGACAAGCTATATACTTAGACTTGTCACTTTCTACTTTCTTGCATTTATGTTATGCATCAAGGAAATAAGTTCAAAAATTATTCTATGATTTGCATCTATGTTTACATTCTTAGGTAAATTTTAAGAATCAAATACTATTATCATTTTAAGTTTTTCAAAATTCATGTTGCTAATTATTTTGCCTAAAGTTTGCACCAGTTTTGACTCCCACCAACAACATACAAAATGTGATTTCTTTGCATTCAAATTAGTGCTTACTGTCATTTTTCTGATTTTTAATAATTTATAAATTACAAAATGGAGTATTTACTTTTCTCTCTAACTTTTTCTTTGGAAAAATTTCAAAGTTATAGAAAAGCTGGAAGAATAATATAATGGACACCCATAGATCCTTCATCAGATTTGCCAACTTTTAAGTTTTTGCCACATTTGCGTTCTCTGTCTCTATTTACATACTCACACGTATGTGTGTATGTATATACACATTTATTGTTATATTTCTGAACTATTTGAAAAGAAGTTTTAGACCTCATGACAATTTACCCCTCAATGCATCACTTAAGAATAAGAATATTCTTTTACATAACCACACTATCTTTACCACACCTTAAAAAATTAACCATAATTTCATATTATCAAGTAATATCTAGTCCATATTCACAAATCCACAATTGTCCAAATATAGTCTTTTCTAATTGATTTTTAAAAAAATAGTACAGGATTAAATAAAGCCCATTCACTTACTGCCTTTAGCTATTTGGTCTCTTTAGTCTCCTTTACCAAAACAGTCCCCTGCCACCATCATGACACTCTGCTTTCTTTCGTGACATTGAAAATTTTCAAGTCTAGGTCACTTGAAAAACCTTCTGTTTGTTTTCAAATGTGCATGACTATGCTTGATTTTGCAGGCTCAGATTATAAAATTATAGGTTTTCAGAAGCACATGTATCAGCAACTGTAACAAATTTTCATTTTCGGCTATTGGTTAATCAGAGCTAGACACTGGATCTCCAGTTGGGCACCAGATGTTTTTACTGACGAAAAAGAAAAAGCATTCAGAGCTTTTAAATCTTACATTATTACTTTGATCATATAAGGAATAATAGCGACATTTCATTCTCTGAAAATTATGGCAAGGGTTTTCCTTCATATTGACACAATATATTATTCAATGAATCGGTTAGTATAGAACCAGTTTGAAAGCCCTGAAAATACAGTGACAGCCAAGAAGGATATTTTGAAGTTTGAAATGATCCCTATATAAATAGAACGGATCCGCATAACTTTGGGATAAAATTAGCCGACAGTTTGTGGCTCTCCAGCATGTGCCTGTTTGCTTGGTGCCGCTCTCCTGATAAACCACAACAAAGCTCAGAGGGAGAGGAAGGATGGACGGTGCGGCTGCCCCGAGGACGAAATCTGCAGCTGCCAAGCTAGTTAAGAGAAATTTCCTTGAGGCTCTAAAGTTAAACGACTTCGGAAAATTGAAGGCCATTTTAATCCAAAGGCAAATAGATGTGGACACGGTTTTTGAAGTTGAAGATGAGAATATGGTTTTGGCATCTTATAAACAAGGTAAAAATTATAGGTGTAATTGTAAAATTGATAGAAAATGGATTTTTTTTAATGCAGTGTCAGTCACCCACTCTAAAGCCTTAGCTCTTATAGTTTCTTTAAGTATGTATTTTCAAAATCTTTCTAATTTAATCTTTTCTTTCTTTTTAAACTAGACCACATCATGGGCTGATATCTATACATGATATATCATATATAAATCATATATGTAGGCTGATATCTATACATGATATATCATATATAAATCATATATATATATATATTTTTATTTCTTTTTCTCCTTTTTCTTCTCTTTCTCTATCCCTGTGCCTGGAATTTGAAATCCTGGACACTCATATTTAGTAACGCACTTTTCTTCTAACTTCTCTTCTCCCTATAATGACATAAAATAAAGAAAACATATCTAGATTATGGCTAAATAGGCTGCTGAGACCTAATTCAGACAGAGGGACTGGCTTAGGGACAGGCAGCCAACTCTCGGTTAACACAGCCATTTAAAGATATATCATCTCTATGTCCATCTGGAGAACAAGAGGATTTTTGCCCCCATTTTGGGGGTTAATGAATGGTTAATGTCATTATGCACCTTGAGGGTCCTCATCATTGTAATGAATTTGCAGTTCAGGCACAAAAGCTGAAACCAGAAAAACCAAAAAGTTAACTTTTTTTCCTTGACTACAACAATAGATCAAAATTGTAGGTATACTTGAACAGAGTATCTGCCTTACAAAAAACTAAGGATAACAAAATTAGAACAGAATTTGTTTTTATCAAGAGATTTTCTGGAACTCATGCCTAATAAATCAGAAATAAATTAGAACTGCTCGAATTCTTATTTCTCAAATCAGCTAGTTAATGGGAGAACTTGAGTCGCAGGGCCATCTGGTGAGCGGACTGCGAACAAACGTCGTGTTCGACATCAGTTTAAACAAAACAGATGATGAGGGCTTGTGTGCAGCATTTAGAGAGAGACAGTAATTCTTTTTTCATGTTTGAAATACCTTCCATTCATATATAAATCATCGGCACCATCGTTTGCAGAAACTAATGCTAATGATATATATTTCTACGTTAATTTACCATGCTCTGATTGTCAGTTCTAAGAGAAAGACAGAATAGTTGAGGCCAGTTACCATGTTTATGATTTTTACTTGAAGGCTTTATAATAAATTGGCATTGCAATTTTGACAGGAAGGTAAAGAAGAGGTCTGTTTTTTAAAAAGTAGTTCATCGGGGCTCTGCGGAAAAGAAAACATGTATACTATATAATTAGATTACTTTCCTCTTATGGATTCGTTCAGTGAAAGACTGTCCGAATGCTAAACACATCTTTAAGGTACTTTTTAAAACTTACCTTTGTGCCCAATGTAAAATAACTTAGGTCCAAGCCAGCGGCTAATTTAACTGACCTGAGTTGTGAAGACTGCCTTTTTCCTCTCCTGAGTGTGCCAAATTGCACAGATCATGCGAAGGTTCTTAGGTTGTGAGAAAGTTTTAGGGGCAGGCTCCGGAGAGGGAAGGAGTTGTTTCTTCTACTTCCAATGGTGTCATCCGCCCTGAATGAGAAGAAATGCATTTTAAACTCTTTCTGTCAATATGAGTTGACTTCTATGGTCCTCATAGAGCTAAATTTCATTCACACTAATGAGTGTTTTCATAGTGTTAGGACTGTGGGATGTGGCTTTCAATTAGGGAGACAAGAAAAAGAGGAAGAGAACAATTCCACTCTTATGCATGCCAGGTGGATGTATGCACAGAAATAATAGGATTTGTGGTCATATCTTTGGGGTTTGTACAAGAAATTGTGTGTGTGTGTGTATGTGTGTGCGTGCACGCTTGCGCATGCACATGTGTGTACACAGAAAGATATGTGCTTACTCTTTGTTTAACGTGAATATGGGTATAAGAAGCTGTCTCTTCAGTCTTAAACCTGGATTAAAGCCTCATCTTTCTTCAAAGTTTCCTGAAACTTTTTCACATGTCCTCCAACCCCATTATCAAACCTTTTCATATTTCAGTCAGAAATGGAAGTGATAAATAGAATCCTAATTGCTAGCCAAGCAAAGTAGACCTAAGTGGGTATAGCAAGTTCTTAAGTCACAAAGGAATTCCCAGGAAACTGTACAGCTGAGCAAGCTACACTGGTTAGTAAGTTAGTTAATTAGTTAGGGTTAATTAGTCCTTTCTGAATAATTCTAAGGAATGAGACCGTTTTCTGTGTGGTCCTGAGGGATTAAACTTTGTGAGACTTTATCAAACCACAGCAGGTTCTTGAACGTTGAATGCTGTTGTGTTGCTATGCACTAGTTTTTGATTTTTTTAAAGCACTTTTGAAAAGTTTTATACGGAAAAGAGTACAAACCATAAGTGTGCAGCTTGATTAATTTTCACAAAATAAACAAACCTATGGGACTAGCATTCAGAGGAGGAAATAGAACATTACCTGTTCACTTTTAAAGTGTGGGAATCTTCAGGTTTTAGGTATTTTTGGCTTAATAAGCGAGACAATGTGTAAAGCCTATAACAGATACCATGCTACCTTTAAATTTGCTTGTATAAATAATAAAATAACCTATATTCAACATTTGATTGCCTTGCAGGAGATCAACAGTATTACAATTAATCTCAAATCATTTTTATTCTTTTGTTAGGACATAGCAAAGCATTTTTCATAGGATTTCAAAAAGTGACCACATTTTTTCCCTAAATATAGCATATCTAAGCCAGTATGAAAGTCAGTTTATAATTTTTGGAAAGGCAACTCAGAACTCTGTTGATGAAAAAAATCAACTTGAGATCTAAATGTTGCTCCCCCAAACCCACAATCTAATTGGTAGACTAATAATCAAAGGTTGACCTCCTAAGCAAATAGAAAATGTGGATTTTGTGAGGAAGTTAGAACAAAGCATCTGGAAAGCCACTTCTGCTTTCCCATCTCACTGAGTAGCGTCTCTTACCTGTGCAATAGAGAACAGATTTAGAAGCCAGCTTCCAGAGCTCACATTCAAAAAGTGGATCCTGCCCAGCCCCCACACCTAGTAATGATTCTTAAAGTTGAGATCTAATTTTATTTTTTCAAGTTATTTTAACCTTTGTAATTAAATCTTCAGATAAAATCATATTTTATTAATTAAAGAAAACCTCTCATTGTGGCTGGCCCAGTGGTGTAGTGGTTAAGTTTGCATGCTCTGCTTTAGTGGTCTGGGGTTTGCAGGTTTGGATCCTAGGTGTGGACTCAGCACTGCTTGTCAAGCCATGTTGTGGCGGTGTCTCACATAAAATAGAGGAAGATGGGCACAGATGTTAGCTCAGTGACAATCTTCCTCAAGAGAAAAGAGGAACATTGGCAATGGATGTTAGCTCAGGGCCAATCTTCCTCACATGCACACACAAAAATAAACAAACAAATAAATAAATAATAAACAATTTTGAAAAAACCTTCTCTCACACTTTGTAAAGTAAGCATTAAAAACATCCCGTTTGGCATTTGAGTTATCTCCTAGGGAAGGGCAGAGATATGAGTCTTAAAAGCAAAAATGAATAAGCCAAATCACACCCATTTAAAATGGGAATGACAGGAAGAAAAGCTAAATACGTGAACAACTTTTCAACAGCCAAAAGCAATAAATAATTGAATAGTCAAGGGATGTCAATGATATAAAGTTTATTATGACCCAAGCACACAGTCTTCAGAGTGAAAGCTGGATTTTGAAGAAAGCTCAAGGGCTGTTGATATTGGTTCTGGCTCATCATCTCCATACTGGAACCGTGAACGTCTCTAGAGCTGTTTCCAAAGGTTTTTCCAACTGCGTATTTTGATTCTCCTTCAGACCTATGAGCCTTGGCTCGTTAACGATACAGGCAGAACATCACACTTATCTCTTTGATATGAAATTCCCTAGTCAGCAAGGTTAATCAGAGTCCTTCTATTAATCAGTGTAATGCACTTTAAGTACTTCGTTAACGGCCCACAGCCGCAGGGTCTGTGGTTGGTAGTCATATTTTTAATTAAAATAACCAATGAATGATTTCACTGGAAAACTTTCTGGCAGGTCCTCTGTCTACTTTACTAGGTAGCAACTGTCGTCCAAATATCTTGAAAGCTCTTATTTCCACTCTCTTAATGAATAATCTCTTTATCACCTAATTTTCCTCTTTGCCAGAAATCTGCTCTCCTACTTTCCTACGAACCAGCCTAGCGTTCTTTTCCCTTCTTAGAAGTTCAAACTTTTTTCTTTAAATTTTACATTGCAAGCTTACTTTTTTTTCTCTCCTGGGAGAATTCTGAGATTTATTCTCAAAATATTAGCTATTAAAAAATAGCCAAGAATTGTGCTTCAGTCTATAATCCTTCAGGACTGTGTAAATACGTGGACACAGGCAGAGCAAATGTCTGCTAATCCAGCCCCAAGCAGCGTGTGTAACCTTTGGCTGTAATAACGGAGGCTTCTCATGTGTGGGGTTCTTTGGACTCAGATAACATTATAACTGATAACTGTCTCAGAGCCCAGGCTTAGCGGAAGGTTTACCAGAGATGCGTACATCCCCCTCGGCACTGGAGCCGAATCAATCCTCTCTTCCAAAAGATGGCCAGACACTTCCCTCCTTACCATATTTCCTGAGCCAGGGAGCTGTCTACTCAGCTACTCAGGCATATCTCTTTGGTTTCAGATTTAAATTAAACACACACACACAGGATTACCCTGCATATTTTTGTTTGGGGTAAAACTTCTAAAATCACTTTAGAACATTTGCCTACAAGTAATGCTGGTTTGGAAGTGAACTATGTGTAGCCTGCAGATCACTGATGGCTATTTGAAGATCTGGGGGAGACCAGAGATTGAGTTGACCTCTGTCAGTACTAGTTACACAAACATGGGCATTTACGCTACTTAATCTCTACAAGATCTTTATCCTCATTTGTAAAGTGGAGGCTTTGTCAAGACCCGCTCTAAATCCCCTGCATGCTGATAATCTACGATGTTATGAAGGGAAAATTATGTAAACAGATTATGGTCTGGAGAAGGTACAAAGAAACTGTAGATACTATAAATCCACATGAGCATGGCCTGTATTTGAGAGTTCTTTGTGGGATTTTTGCATAGGAGAAAGAGTCTGTATTTTCTTTTTTTTTTTAAAGATTGGCACCTGAGCTAACAACTGTTGTCAATCTTTTTTTTTCCTGCTTTATCTCCACAAATCTCCCCTGGTACATAGCTGTATATCTTAGTTGCAGGTCCTTCTAGTGGTGGCATGTGGGACGCTGCCTTAACATGGCCTGAGGAGTAGTGCCACGTCCACACCCAGGATCCAAACTGGTGAAACCCTGGGCCACCACAGCAGAACGCACCAACTTAACCACTCAGCCACGGGGCCGGGCCCCAAGAATCTGTATTTTCTTCTCTTCTTCCTAGTTAAGCTCCTTGCTCAAGCAGAACTCTTGTGCAAGGAGCCGTCACTACTCACGGACTGCAGACCTGGGGCGAGAGTGTGCATGGTTTACTTTAGGGGAGGCAGAGGGTTCTTCACCACCCCCTCGAGGGCTTTGTTCCCAGGTTCTGCTCCACCCTTGTGCTTTGTGCAGTTTGAGCACGAGGTCAAAGGGCAGCCTGGCATCTGCAGAAGTGAGCGGAGGGAGGCCCTTTGAAAGATAAATGCTAAGAATAAATCACATTCTAGGTTCTGAAGCCCTGGGACAACTCTGCTGAGGAAAAAAGGGAGAATATGAAAAAATGAATCTGCCTGATTACTTAACTCTATTTCTATCATTCTGTGATTATTGGCGGTTGTATTTTGGAGGACAAATTCTGATCTCTGGACATGTCAGTATTGACACAAGTGTGTTAATAGGTGCTGTGTCGCTGTGGTTTTTGAAGATGGATTTTCCTCAGGTTTGGTCCTCAGTGAGGGGAGGTGTGGTGGAAAGACACTTGCTCATTTCCACACATGGTACACAGTGACCTGTGGCCGCAGCCTCACTTTCAGGTGGTGATTATCTGTGGGTAGCCTCCTTGCTGTGAGCTGCTCCTTTCTCTGCAGATGGTCTTCCTGCTATGCTCAGGGTTGAATTACCCAGAAACTCTTCTTCAAACACCACCACCAAATCCTGCAACACAGTGTCAAGATGCACTTCAGCAGACCCTGATCCATATGCAACAGCCTGTCCTCTTCCTATTTCTCCACTCAGCTCCCTTCCAAAAGATGGCCGAACACTTCCCTCCTTACCATATTTCCTGAGCCAGGGAGCTGTCTACTCAGCTAAGGTGTCTTGTTGCCACCCACCTACACACATTCCTATCTAGGAGAGGTGAGTTGTAGGCACGATTCCATTTGGGGCATTGGCTGAATTCCAGACCTTGGCGATCTCCGAGCTCAGTAAATACTGGCTAATGATTATGATTATAGGAAAAGAAGATGAAACTGACTGAGAGGTCAAGGATGACTGATTCATGTCATAAATGCGCAGGATAGATTCTCTAGGTGCTACTGGGAATTTAGGAGGAAGAAAAAATCAACAAGCAAATGCATTTCCGTATCAGAGATGTGACATATATTATAGATGAATTTGGGATCTTCTTTCCTTCCTCGTGATTTGTGAGGCAGGCTTGGCACTAAACCTATTCTGCGTCCACAAAGACAAAGACAGATGGAAATCCTGCACTGCACATGTCCTCAGTCCATTCGCTTGGGCTGAGGCAGGCAAGTCATGGCTCTACCAGGCTGAAAAAGTAGCAGTTTTTTCATCTGGAAAATAAAAGGCTTGGAGTGGATAATCTTCCCCTTAGTGCTAACATTCTATGTTTCTGATTTTGCATCAAAATGCTGTTTTCTTAATCAGCTCTCTGCCGCTTCCTTTTTGAGGTCATTTTTCTTCCCATTGCAGAAGCAGGCCTGAGTTTCCGATCAGTGGCTGCATAGAGCTGCCTAATCTTTGCTGCTAATCGGTGGGCAAAACGCACTTCTGTTTTCAGATCTGGAACCAGCTTCTTTCCAAGACAATTAGAAGAGTATGTCTTTGCAAATTGCTTGTTGAAGGATTTTGAGTATTAAAATGACTAAGAATCAGTGATAATGTGATTCATTCATTATCAAAAGCAGATTGCATACCATAGAGTTTAAAAACTTTGCTTGGAAGGCATATTCAGTGTACATAGCTAAGTAGAAATGTATAAATGGATATATACACATATATCGTGTGTGCATATCTATTTACACACACACACACACACACACACACACACACACACACTACACATATACACAAATTACAGGCACGCGGTTAATACTCCAGCTCAAGTTGTCTGTGATTCTATTTATCTCTGCTAAGGAAAGTCCGTATCACCAAATATGTCGCCTTCTCAGTGTCTGGAATTTCGAATTAGTATCTTAGAACTTAATTCTATTAATTGAATATGCATTCCTAGATAAATTCAGATAATCCCAAGAGGGTCACCCTTTGAACTATCCTCTGTTTTCTAGACCTTGGTGTGAATTAACCTTGGATTTCTTTACAAAGAGCAGATTTGGATAGCGGGAGAGTTGGGAGGAAGAGAAAGCAAAATGGCCCTACAATTCTGAAAGGGAGGAAAAAGGGATTAAAGTGTATGCGTGCGTGTGTGTGTGTGTGTGTTGTGTGTGTGTGTCTACGTTGGAAAGTGGGCTGCAGAAAAATAAACTTTGGGTTGGATTCATTCATTCCTTCAGGATTAATCAGCATTGTGTATCACCCTATATTATATGGCCTCTTTAAACTAAATTATTTTTTCCCCCTCTGGACAGGGAGACAATAGCTTATTTTAATTTTGCTTATTTTTATAAATAGTAATACATGCACAAGGTACTAAATATAAAAGCTCAAATGGGGCATTCAAGGACAAGTAAATCCGTGTTCTTGTTTCCCAGTCCCCCAGTTCCTGGAGTCACTACTGCAACCAGTTTCTTGTTCTAGGTGTTTATAAATATGTTTGCATATGATGGCATGTTATGCACACTGTCCAGCTTCCTGCTTCTCTTACCCGATAATAACATATCTTGAGATTTTTCCCTATCAGTATACATAGAAATGCCCCCTTCTTTATAATGGCTGATAGTATCCGATTGTATAGATACACCGTAATTTATTTAAACAGTCTCCTATTGATGAAGATAGGACTGATGTTTCCAATCGTTAACCTTTGAGAACAATGCTGTGGTGTAGTGCGTGTTCTTGTCCATAGGCTGAGTTGCCAGGATTCACAACTCCTGGGAACTTTATACTCTTCACAAAGAGTTCAATGCAAGAGGTGTTCCTGGGAGTTCTGCAATACAATGGCACTTATAGGGCATTTCACACATGAGCGATTATACTTGTAGGATTAATACCCAGGAGTGGCATGTGTGTAGTGTTTTTCACCTAAATGAGGAAATTTTAAGATCTGATCCCCAGGCCCACTTTTAATGTGGTCATCATCCTCTGAGTGCCCTCCAGATGCTCATCATTGGTGCCCAGAAGTATTCAAAATATTCTAGATTTATTCTGACCCCATCTAATCAGTGAATAATACAACTTTTACTTCTCTTGTTCTGGGCACTGCACTTTTGTTAATGTGGCTTAAGATTGTATTAGCTTTTTGGCAGCTCCATCCCACTGTCAGCTCATTTTGAGATTACTGTCAAGTCAAATCCCTAGGTCTTTTCTCAAATAAATTACCATTAAACCATATTCTGCTTCCCTTGTACTTGTATAGTGGGATTTTTATAACTTAAAAGCAAACTTACGATTTATCCGTGTTAAAATTTATTTTGTTGTTTCAGCCCTAGAGTCTCTTCTAAGCTGTTGAGCTCTCTCTCCATCTCATCTTGCCATCAATAGTTCATCTTTCTGTATCTATCTTCCATTCTCCACTTACGGTGAGCTTAATGCCATGGCTCTAGCATTGACACTGAAAGAAGGTTTATAAAGTTATCTCTTTTATACCTTGTCAAATATGGCAATTGTTAGAGGCTTGGATAAAAGGGGCTAGCTCATTGTTTAGAAGTCAAAGGTCACGGGGAAAAAGGCAAGACAGGAGAGAGAAGAGGACATTTCCAACAACTAATGGGAAAAATTTTTGAAAGATCTCAGTTCTAGGAACAACTATGATTCTTCTCAACAATTAATTTGTATATAGCTTGTGGACATAGTTAACTGTGCAACACATCATGCTTTCCTGTTTATTTTGGGTGCTAGGAAGTTCAAAGGCTAATTTTGCAATGTTGTTCTAGTGTACACGACACAGTTTACATTTTGTGTACTTATCTTTGACCTCTTTTTATTTTCCTACCTTACTTTTTCTTTGCCCTTATTTTCTAGATCATTAGAAAATCCTGTATTGTGTAAATCTTGTGAGTTGCTGTCAAGTCTTCTTTCGAAAGAGATATTGTATAAACTGACAGGCTGGCAAATAAAATCTTGGTGTGACAAATTTTTTAAAGACATCAAATACATTCACACCTTAGATTGACAATAACAGCCACAACTATAGGGAAAAAGAACTGTGATGGAATAAAAATTATAAGCTTGTAACTAACAGCTTTGGAATCATTCAAGACAATAGTTGGGAGTTAAAAAATTCTTTAATAAGAGTTTCCTGTAACTCACCAGTTAAAATAAAATGCAATCACGTAAACGAAGATCTCAAGCTCAAATGCCTTGGAATGCCAGGAAGGTAAAGTAAATAAAGGAACGAGATAGAGAGCAGAAGAGACAGTGAGAAGTCAAGAGTGGCTGTCCCTCTTAAAAACATCCAGATATGCTACTAAACTAAACATTTGCAGACCCACCAGCTACTAGTTTATGGCTTCTGAATCATTCCTCCCCAATTTTATAAACGTGACCAAAGTAAAATACTTTGTAAAAATCCTCGCAAAGTAGGGAGAAATTCTAGGCCAAGAAGTTCAATTTTCTTTTCTTTTCTTTTTCAGGGTACTGGTTGCCTAGTTATAAATTAAAGTCTTCCTGGGCAACAGGCCTGCATCTCTCTGTCTTGTTTGGTCACGTGGAGTGTCTTCTGGTGCTACTGGACCACAATGCTACAATCAACTGTAGGCCTAATGGGAAAACCCCTCTTCATGTGGCTTGTGAAATGGCCAACTTGGATTGTGTTAAGATCCTCTGTGACCGTGGAGCAAAGCTCAATTGCTATTCCTTAAGTGGACACACAGCTTTACACTTCTGTACAACTCCAAGCTCCGTTCTCTGTGCCAAGCAATTGGTCTGGAGAGGTAAGCCTTTCTGGGTGGCTGACACTGTTATCACTTGCACACTCATGGTTTTGAAACTTGGTGATATTTACTGAACTCAGGCAATATAGTAGGTATCCCGATGCATTAAGCCTCATTCAAGGGACCCAAAAATACCCATATATGTACATATATACATACACACACATACATGTATATATATGTGTGTGCTGGCCCAGGTCATTTAGTGATGATCACATTAGAGTCTGATAATTTTTTAATTGTAGGAGGCTCATTAATTTACACATTTATTTGACAAATATTTATTTAGCGCATATGATATGTCAGGTAATATGCTAAGTAAGTGAAAAGAGAAAATAGTATCTGCCCTGAAGAAGCTTATATTCTAATAGAGGAGATAACTATTAGCAAAACAGATTCATAAATATATAATTGTAAATTTGGAAAGGAGAAAAACAAGGTGTTATGAAAGAGAATGTCAGGAGTGAACTATTATAAAATGTATAAAGATTTCTCTAAACATATGATATGTAAGCCAAATTTTAAGAATGAGAAGGAGCTAACCATTAAAAGAAGGAGCCAAGAGGAAGAAGAATCTAGGTACAGGGAACAGCATGTGCAAAGTTCCCAGGAGAGCAAAAATCTTGGACTATTCAACAGATGGAAGAAGGCCAGTGGGGCCAGAGTGTCACGGCTGTGGGTGGGGTGGGAGAGAGGAGGGGAGAGGGGACTGCCACAAGATGACATTGCACGTGTTAGATCATATACGGCTTGCTGGGGGCCATAGGATGGGGTTTAGAAATGGAGCCACTGGAAAGTTTTGAGAAGGGCAAAAACATGGTTTCGTTTTCACTTGAAAGCATCATTCTGGATTGATGCAGGCATTGGATTGGAGGAGGCCCAGAGTGGGAGCAGGGAGACCCTAAGGGAAGCTATTGCAATCTTGTAGGTGAGAAGGGACGGTGATTTGCACTAAGGAGCAAACCTGGATAGGAAGATGAGAAGATGAGTTTGTAATATATTTTGGAAGCAGAATTGCTAGCATTTGGAGATGGATTAGATATGGATGGGAATGAAGGGAAAGGAAGTTTCAGGTATCATTGCAGTTTTCTGGCATTAGAAAATCAGTAAATAGCGATGTCTTTTCTTAAGATGGGGAGAGTTGAGGATGAAGCATGTATGTGGAGAAGATAGCTAAATTAGTCTTTTTTTAAAGTCAGATTTATAGAGGTAAAATTTACACACAGTAAAATTTACTATTTTTGAGAAACACATAGTCATGAAACCATCACCACAATCATCTCAAAAAGTTCCCTGATGCCCTTTGTAGTTGATGCCCTCACTCTGTCTCACCTCCAAGAACCACCGATTTGTTTTCTGTCCCTAGAGTTTTGTCTTTTTTGGAATGCTATGCAAATTAAATTATATAATATGCAGCATTTGAGTCTGGTTTTTCCTACTTAACATAATCCATTTGAGATGCATCTGTGTGGTTGCACTCACCAGGAAACCAGAACTTTTATTGCTGAGCAGTATTCCTTGTACAGGTGTAACACAATTTATCTACTCCTCAGTATAGGGGCATTTGGCTTGTTTCTAGTTTTTGGCAATTTTGAAAAAAAGCTGATATAAACATTTATATGCAGGTTCTTTTTTTTTGTTTCGAGGAAGATTAGCCCTGAGCTAACTGCCTGCAATCCTCCCCTTTTTGCTGAGGAAGACTGGCCCTGAGCTAACATCCGTGCCCATCTTCCTCTACTTTATACGTGGGACACCTGCTACAGCATGGCTTGCCAAGCGGTGCCATGTCCACACCCGGGATCCGAACCGGTGAACCCTGGGCTGCTGAGAAGCAGGACACGCACACTTAACTGCTGCGCCATCGGGCCAGCCCTGCATGCGGGTTCTTGTATGGACATGTTTCCATTTCTCTTGGGTAAATATGTAGGAGTAGGATGATGGGCTGTATAGTAAATTTATAAGAAACTGCTGAACTGTTTTTCAAAGTGGTTGTACCATTCTGCATTCCCACCAGCAGTGTATGAGTTCAGTTGCTCTCCATCCTTTACAGAACCTGGTAATGTCAGATTAAAAAAAAAATTATTTTAGCCATTCAAAAAGGTATATTATAGTATCTCATTATGATCTTAATTTGAATTTCCCTGTTGACCAAGGATATTAAGTATTTTTTCATGTATTTATTTGTCAGCTGTATATTCACTTTAGTGAAATATCTTTTCGTATCTTTTCTTCTTTCTTTTTAAATGGGTTGCTTGTTTTCTTATTATTGATTTGTGAGAGTTCTTTATATATTCTGGATACTAGCCCTTTATCAGATATGTGATTCGCAAATATTTTTATTCATTCTTTGACTTTTTATTTTCCTAACAGTGTCTTTAAAAGAGCAGAAGTATTTAATTTTGATAAGTTCGATTTATCGATTTTTACCTGTTTTGGTTTGTGCTTTTTTGTGCTGTATCTAAGACTAGCTCAAGTAACAAAGATTTTCTCCTATGTTTTTGTCTAGAAGTTTTATGATTTCAGGTTTTACTTTTGGGCTTTTGATTCATTTTGAGTTAATTTTTATATATGGCATAAGGTACAGATTGAGGTTCATCTTTTTTATATACAGATGTCCAATTGTTTCAACATCGTTTGTTGAAAAGACTATTCCTTTACTCTTGAATTGCCTTGATATCTTTGTCAAAAATCAATTGGCCAGGGCCAGCCCTGTGGCATAGTGGTTAAGTTCATGTGCTCCACTTCAGTTGCCTGGGGTTTACGGGTTCAGACGGCAGGCACGGACCTACACACTGCTAATCAAGCCCTGCTATGGCGGTGTCCCACATACAAAGTGGAAAAAGATTGGCTCAGCTATTAGCTCAGTGACAATCTTCCTCAAGCAAAGAGAGGAAGATTGGCAACAGATGTTAGTTCAGGGCCAATCTTCCTCACAAAAAAAGAAGGAAAGAGAGAAAAAATCAATTGGCCAAATATGGATGGATCCAGGGATCTACATGTCTATCTTTTGCTAATACTCCACTGACTTGCTTGCAATAGCTTTACGTTGTCTCAAAATCAGAGTGAGTCCTCATAGATCAATTTTAAACCTGAGAAGTTTCAGATCTCTTTGAGACATCAAGGTGAATACGTCAAGGTTGCACTTGATATAAAAGTATAGCTTTCTGAAGAAAGTTCTGGATTAATGCTATAAGTTAAAAACTATTGGCTTGTAGACTGTATTTGAAACCAATGAAATCACCTGGATAAAGAAGGTAGCAGAGAAAAGAGAATCTAGGACCAAGCCCCAATAAATTCTTACATTTAGCTGTTAGCAGGATGGACAGGAGCCAAAAAAGGAGACTGAAATGGATTGCTAAGTCAAGTTGGAGAAAACTCAAGAGCATTTTTGGCATCACAGGGACTAAGAAAGAGGCAGGTTCAAGAAGGAGGGAGTGGTCACCTATGTTGACAGCTACTGAGAGGTTTAATTAGATGTTCATTAGATTAATTGAAAGAATTATCGTCAACAAAAATAGCTTTGGTGAAATGGTGGGTGTAGAAGCCAGATTAGAAGGTGTGAATGGGAGGTTAGAAACTAGAGATGGCAAATGTTGACAACTGTTAAAAGAAGCTTGGCTGCAAAAATGAGCATAAGAATAGCATGATTGCTAAAGGGGGAGGGGGTGTCATAGAAGAGTATTATTTACAGCTGGAGATAAAGGAAATGTTTGTGTGCTGAAGGAAATGACTGATAGAAGGAAAACCGTGGACGGTGCATGAGATAGGATAACTGAAAGCTCCAGATCTTAGAGAAATTGAGACAGGATGAAATCAAGAGACCAGGAGACAAATCCTCATTTTTAACACATTGGCCAAAGCAAAAGATGGCTTTAAATGCCAGAGCATTTATAGATTTGGTAGTGATGAGGGAGTTCATATCTGATAGCTTTCCCCCTTCGATAACGTATGAGCCAAAAATGAGAGAACAAAGGGAGGAAATTTTGATGAGAGAGGAGAAGGTATGTAAAGGTCATGGGGAAGTATGGGAGAACAAGCTTAAAGATGCCATGGTCTTCTCAACCTGGGAGAATTAAGGAGAAAAAAATTAGCCTGGCTTATTCTCCTTCTCTCCTGCCCTAGGAGGAAGGGCCTAACGCAGAGACGCATGATGAGGGATAGGCACCAGCTGACTCATCTTACCACTGGTGTTCATCACCCGCTTTCACATTTACTTATACATTTATTTTTAAATTTAGTTTTTATTTATATTTTAATTAATTAATTTAAACTTTTAAGCTTTTTATGTTTTAAATTTTTAGAGAGTTAAGAAATTATGTATTTGTTTAATTATTGACCTTTTATATCACTACCTTTTCTTGCGACTTCATCAACTACATACTGACAGAGAGCTGCCAACCCCTTCACTCCTTAGAAGCGTTGCCACACAGTTTTCCCAAAGGGTGCTGTTGTTCCTTGCCTCCCACGTCTCGGTTGACAGAGGGGCACTACCTAGTGATCAGAAGGAGTGAAGAGCAAGGGGGAGGCGGAGCAAGGCTCCCTGGAGGTTGACACTAATGAATTAGGCTGATGATGATCAGAGAGGAAGAATGGAAGTCCATTAAAGACGTATTTGCTCTTTGGCATCATGGTCTCAAAGGCCAAAGCCATAAAGAAAAGAAAGATAAATTAGAGAAAGTGAAAGTGTTCAACTTCTGAGCGGCAAACAGATCATAAAATTAAAAGGGAGTCATAAAACTGGAAAAAATATTTGAGACTATATGACAAAAGGCTCACATCTTAATTCTTAAATCTTAAGAAGTAAAGTAAGGAAGTTAACAACTAAGGAAAAGAAGAGAACAAAAGGACAAAAAATGGGAACAGGAATAGATATTTCAGAAAAAAACAAGCATATAAATAATGAATAAAGATAATATAATGATCACCTTCATTGGTAATAAGTAAATATCAATTAAAATAACAATTGGATGCTTTTATTGTTGTTCATTCCATTAACAAGA